AACATAATTTCTTCGGAATTAGGTATAGATTTTTCATAAAAACCCTGTGTGGCAAAAAACAAAAAACGAAGACAAGACGAGTGCGTGTGGGAGGCGAATGCAAGACAGAGTGCATGGGTAAAGAGGAGTATACATGCTTGCATACACTAATGATAAAAATAGTAGGTACATTATGTAATTGTTTGTTACATTTTAATATCCAGCATCCCAACAATAATGAAAACCAACAATTGAAGGTATATAAGTTCCACCGAAGGCTACGCTTCTAATAAGTTATAAATCTAGAATTGTGTGAACGGAAAGGTACATTAAACTGAAACCATACTTATTTGAAAATGGGGATTAGGTTATCGGAAGGGTTTTTTTACTCTTAAGGTTTAGTGTACCCGCCATGTATAAGATCCCAAAAGTGTAAGAAAAAGCCTATTTTTACACAAGAGGAGTATTTTTTTATCTTTTGGTCAATTAAACTGCCCGTTTGATCTATACGGCATTGATTCATATTCATTACAGCTGGATTCTTACCATATGACAATATAAAAATAAAATGTTTTCATTTGAAATTTATTTTTCTTTATAAATGTTTTCTTTTCACATCTTATTGTTCTACCTTAAAAACAATACTATAATGCGTACTTGTTATTTTGGCCATGGGTGTATGTATGCATGCCAGACATCAATCCCAGTTAATGATCGCAACAATATGCCGTCGAATTCATTGTCGCTTTAACGATCATCTTTAGCGCACGTACGCAAATGACGTGGAGGCTCAGACGTCTGAGAGTCGTCGAGTCGCAAACGATATTTTCCCATAAAAAATAATAAGTCTAAGTGAAATGAAAATTGCGACCAGAATGCACACACCCGTTTGTGTCGCAAAGAAAAACGCTGGCCGTTCAGATGTGGCCATGCAACGCAAGTTATGTCCCGAAACGTGCATATTCATGCTCATATGCAAACAAACACGCTTAATGCTGCCGCCGGTTTCCTAGGGAAATGTTATGTCGTAAGTTTATGGCTTTTGGGCGACACTAACACATCACACACATAGTATCTGCTGTAGACGTAGTGGTGGTGGTGGTAATGACAATTTTCTTTTCGCTCACGATAACGTTTTTACACCACTACGAGTCATAATCGTAAAAATGTTTATAATTTACTTCTTAAATAATCGGCATATTGCAAATATTGGTTAACTCCATTTTCAGAATATTCGAGTTTGCCATGCTGTATATTAAGACAGTCTCTACAAAAACCTCCAGAGTATCTCCAGGGTAACCACATGAGAACTTTCACCTCTCATAATTGGTTTCTACACTCGATCGGAGTCTACAATGTTGACTGATAATGTTTAATTGATCAATTATATAGTTAGTGTGGCTGCGACCATTAATAATTTGTCAATCGAGTGGTACGGGCTGGTGTCAAAACCAGCAAAAGAAATGCGAAAAAGTTGGTCTCTGACCTTAAAGGCAGTTCCACTTATCACGCTTTGAGAAAATCTTTTTTATGTTATTGCCACTCTCATATCCAACTCGATTTGATAGTCAAAACTGGGAAATAAAAGCAATTAAAATGCGAATTAACCGATACTTGGATTCTAGCAACGATATGGCAGGAATTAAGTAGCGTCACTTGGCTGGAAATATATTGAGACATACACACAACTGATTTATAGCAAATACATCAACTTCATTCACATTTTCTGCAAAACTATAACCCGAAATACAATTCTAGGGACGGTGCAACCATCCTTTCACCCGCCACTAGAAATATGTTTGCATGTGCGCATGCGTAAAGTATTGGCTATCCCATTGATATGTCTGTTCAATAGAGGCAACGTGCCGTAGTCGCATTGTCCTCCCCGGCTTGGAAAAATGCAAAAGGAAAACATAAACTTTTAATCGTTACGATGCTATCACAAAAACACTGCGCATTATGCCCCCGGGGAGAATTTTCGGTGTGCGAATAGAAAATGAAACAACAGCAAGGAAGCAACTGAAAACGAAGAACATCTGTCATAACTGCAATAGACCATCTACACTTACAAAAAAATATTCATTGATTAGACAGCAAAGTATATAAAAAAAGCATGTAACGAAATGTAAGGAATGACAGTCATAACTAGTTACAAGTCAACCCAACAACTGATTATTTTTATACCCTACACCACAAGGTGGTCAGGGTATTATGTCTTTGTACATTTATTCCCAAATTTATTTTTTTTTTCCAAATTTTATCGAAATCGGTTCAGATTTGGATATAGCTCCCATATATATATGTTCGTCCGATTTGTCTTATATTGTGCACCAAACGTGTAATGTAAGTCCGAATGGAATGGAATTTGGCACTTACGACCAAATTAAACCTAGAAACAAGTACGTCAAATTTAGGTTCATCAACGGTATGCTTGAATTGGAAGTAATGCACTTTTTTCGGAATGCAATTTTTCTCCATGTATACATGGAACTGGTGAGTTGGGGGTTGTGTGTTCACAGAATTCGCTTGTCGGCCTGTGGACTACACTGCTGCATTGGACTGATTTTCCATGAACTGTAGAAGATTTTATGGATTTGAGCATGAAGATTGAAGTTTTGAGATATTCACACCTTGTTAAAAACATATTAAAGCTGTAACATGTTTGAGGAGCCTTTCCATAATGGCAGAGCTAAGCCTCGACTGAAACACAATAGGAATTGAAACTGGCAAAACGTCATTGATCTACCATCGACAGAAACCGCCAGCAGCATAGATGGTCACCTCATGGGTGCTTGTGGTACGATTGTGTCCTCAGTGGATGCTTTTGATGACTGTGTTTTGGTTCTTGGTCTACAGCGTGGATGTCGAACAGAGCGATAGTGCTTACACAGAGGTGGAGGGCGAGAAAACTCACTTTTGGGTGTCTTTAGAAAATTGCAAATAGCACACACACAAGCGCATACTTTGTTTTTCATTCCTTTTCTCAATCTGACGTGCCAATATGGGAGTTTTCTGAGTATCTATCTAGTGAGACATACACGATGGATGTGTTGGGACCTTTTTTAAATTTGCTGTGCCAAAAAGTGTTAAGCTCTATGGCTTCATTAGTATACCATCCCCACCCCCGCACAACAGTCATTGGCAGGCGGAGTGTTTTGTGTCTTAATGTTCGGCCTGGCCTGCCAAAGGCGGGGCAAGGAAGGACAGCCTAAAATTACAAATTCGTCATAGCGATGTGATGGAAGAGGACATCAAGCAATACCGCCACCTCTGTCATCTGTACACTTTCATCAAGCGACAATAGAACCAAGAAAATGCTCTGCCCCACCCTACTGCCAGAGTCCGGAGTTCGCTGAACAACTCCCGTTCGTTGCACCAAATAAATTGTTATTGTCGTGTACAGCACCAGATGGATGATGCAGACCAAAGATTTATTTTATGATGAGAGAGAAAAGAAAAAAAGAGAATATGAGTTAAGCAAATAATATAATTTTCGAATATTCATACAATTAATGAATTCACTTGATATTAACAAAAATCGCTAAAAAATGTTGCGCTGCATACCTAATGTAAAAATGCTAAGCACAACGGTCGCAGACAAGGATTCTTATCCCCAAAAAATCCAAGGGGGATGGCGGTTTTGCTTATATCCACCTCATTAAATCTAACATAATTAAACATAGTGAAGACAGGCTCCGGCGATTGAGGCTGTCAGTGAAGAGCGTCGAACGTTTATCTTCTCATATAATTGCCGCAATTGTCATTTGTGGTTGAGAGAAGTTGTTGCAGGGTGAGGGGCCTCAAATTTCCTCACCTCACTCACCAACAACCTACTGTTTAGACCTATTAAAGGATGCATAAGAGGAAATAAAAGAACGTGAAATTGCTAAAGAAACCGGCACAGCCAGAAAGATCGATTAACTTCGAAGGAAATGGAAAAAAATACAACCCTACAGGAGAGTCTTATTCTGTCATATAGACTTCGTAGACATTCAACAACTTGTAAAAACCCGATTTTTTACCAAAATCAGAAAAAAATTGGTTCATTTTAATCCCTAAATATTTTTTTAACATCTCTGAAAACAAATGACTTCTATTCTGCCCCTAATTTTGCAAAGATCCGTCCATAATTGCGACCAATCTGCCGATTCGCAGCATATATTTGATAATAAATATTTTCACAGACATCGATACACATGTAAATGCAGCCACAATTTATTTAGGTAACAATCCACTCGTCTATCTACTTCGTCGTAGACAGAACGAGAATTTTCGATGACTTCATTCCTTTTGTCATTGAACGTGTCAAAAATCTATTAATTTTTTGTAGAAACATTTTGAAGCATTTTCAAAACATTATTATCAACAACAATAACATTTCAAGAAAATTATATCGGCATTGACGAACTCTCTGATACCCTTCAGCTGAAATACCAGATTGCGGTTGTAGGACACTTTTCACACTTCTATTGGAGCAAATTTAATCTCAAATTTAATAGCATTTTTGATTGGATGTTAAAACGACCATAAATAAAGCAAATAGGGAACTTAAATTGAGTGGATTCCCCCACAGAAAACAATGACAGCAAAAACAAAACTTAGATAATGACAGAGGTGAGGAAGACGACTTGTTTACAGACATATGGGTAAACAGTCGAGTGTGCTTATTGCGAACCCGCTTGAGCCGATGTATTCTGATATGAGTCATGCAAAATGTGCTTTTCATGAAATACGAAGTATTTTTTGGTTCCGAATTACCCACAAAAAGCTGCCAACAGCATCGAGGCTCCAACTAGTAAAAATAATCGGATGATCGTTCAAATTGGTTCCCACTGTATCTATATACTGAGTGCTGGGTACTTCACATTGACTAGAGTGGCGAATATATTTTCGCGTTAAAAATAATTTAATAAGCAAGCAATAACAAATTGAAATTGTTTGCGATTCTTTTGTTTCATTTCAGTTTTGCAGGCCGTTCACTAGTCTCTCCCTCCCTCAGTGACAAACGCTGCTCAGTAAGTCACAGAACTTTGATTAGAATACATCGTCAAACAAACAACAACGTAGTAGATCGAGAGCAGATTTATTTTGTGCTTTTGAAGATGGTCGCAAAGAAGCTAATATTCGCTTTATTCGTAGGTATTTTATGTTCGGTTTACGCCCGGTCTGTTTCCGTTATTGGGGATGTACACATTGTGGCCGAAAATGGTATCATATGATTTACGCAATATATCAAGTCTAGGAAATAATAGCAATTTCACCTAGATAACTTCCAATGTGATCAGTTAAGATGTCCCCTGGATGCCGAACGGTGCTTGGTGACCAAAGAAAATGACCCCAAAGATCCATCGATTTTAGTACGTACGAACATATGCTACTCGAAGAATGGCGTTGAACTTGACAAATTATCGACGAGACAAACCGTGGATCCAAATAGTCAAATAAAAGTGCGCATTGAAGGTTATCGCAACGGTCTGGTCAGTTCAATTAATATTGGAAATTCCGTAACTTCCAACGATTTCGACTCGGAAGAATTTGAAGCCGAAATGGAAAAATTTAATCACGATCTCAACAAAGGAATGGAGGAATTGAATAAAGGTCTGAATCAAATGAGTTATAATTTGGCTCATATGTTCGATTAATTGCGGTTGTAGATCGAGAAAAACTACCCAATTTCATAATTAAATTTAAACATGTGAAAGACATAAAAAAACTTTCTCCACTTTTAAGGTCTGAAAAATATTTTAGATACTAGCTGATTCCGTTTCGCTTATTTTAACTTCGTCCTTCTATGCTAACGCGTTGAAACTTTTAAATTGACAATATTCTTTATTTTATTGTGTAATGGGTTAATATTGGGCACATTTCTTCAGAAACATTTTTAATAAACTTACTAACTGGCGACTTTGATTTGATTTAATTTTTGCATTTACTGTGCTGTATAAATGTGTATAAGTGGACTTGTGCCAATTTTGAGTTATTGGTAGCACATATTTTAATTATTTAGACATTTTTTTCGATTCGCAAGAATCGAATATGTCATATGGCAAGGCATGTAAAAATACTAAATTGTAGTCCATTCAGTGGTATGTACCCTCTAAATTCGGATAATTGGAGGTTACCGTTATGTGAAGGCTATTCGAAAATTTCTGCTTATGTTTCGAAAATTAATCTGTTTCAAAACTTCATTTTAGCTACGATAACCGATGTTTGTTTCGTAATGATATCGAAAAAATAAATCGCAAAATTAGTAGATGCTTACTGGTTCTGGAACAGAGTAAATATTTTAAAAATGTTATATGCTACTAACGCCATCTAACGGAACATAACAATAACATTGAACACAATCTGGTTCGATTTTTGAACAACGTGATAACATACTTTTGTACTCACGACCGCGACATTTTGCGAGACATTGTAATAATGCAATGGTCCTTATCGTTGTATATTATATCGTTGCTCAAAATAATGTTTTGAATCTGATAAATAAAAAAGACGTATCAAAATTATAACGTGGAAACAAAACTTGTATGTCTTTTTATTAAGATTCTCTTGTGGAATATTCTGATTTTGGGAACCCTGTATCTAATCAAGTACTCCTCTTAATACTTTAAACCGATAGTCGTGTAAAAACCCACAACACTACTATAAACAAACCATTTCATATACCTGTGACGATAGGACATATGTGTTGTGTTTACTACGCACACATTCGCATCTTAAAAGAAGAACAAAATATACTAAAATACACATCAATAGCCATAGAAATGTACAATGCGTTGAAGATATTGCATTCTTGGTTGAGATTTTGTGCTGCAAAGAAGGAAAAAGAAACATTTTGTTTGTTCGATGTTTTCATTTCTGCTGAGTGGAAAGCATTGATAATGTCTTTTAGAATGATCGTGAGGACTAGAAATTCAGATTGTTTTGAATTGCGGTGCATTAAAAAGTGGTCATGTATTGTGAGGAAGTCCAAATGTCAATATAAACAAATGGTGGCTCTGAGGCAAGAGTAAATATGCAACGAATTTGTAGCTTGTAATGGCGATGCTTGTAATGGCGACACAACATTTCAACAAAGTAGGTGTGACTGGAGGTCCCATCTTTTAGTGCAGCAGCGTAAGGTGAGTTTGTGGTGTTAGAGGATACAAAATTTAAATGTGATCTATATTTGCAGGGTTCATTCAAGAATAGCAAACGTTTATGAGTCATGATGTCAAGAATCTCCATGCAAACGGAAGTCAAAAATCTTCAATACGGTTCAAAGCAACAACAGTATGCTAGATATGATGTCTTGTATTAATTAAGAAGCTTGATAATTAATATGTAAAATGTAAAAAATACTTATTTTAATATTATTGCCATTACTTCGTCGTTAAAAGAACGGAATCATGTTGGAGTCCCTTAACTGTCTTCCGTGGAGTCTAAAATCGACAACTCGACAAAAAAAGTTTAGGGATTTTTTTTTTAAATTGAAATGATTCATTTCTTTTTGAAATTTTTTTCATTCAAGAACTAAAACGACATAATATCCCCATTTTGTGTAAATATACTCTTGGAATTTAGTGTACGAAAGGGTTGTCTTTAAATTCTAATATATTATAGAAACCTAATTCAAGTCTAATTCGAGTAACTGTCTCCACTTTATCTGGAGTGCTTTTAAAACTTGTTATTTTATTGAATTCTTTAACAGGAAACACTGCAATGATAAGTTACGTTGTTTAAAATGCAATAAATTATTAAATTGCTTAGTCCTATTTTTACTATCGCCATTTTAAGGTAATGTAATAGGGACGTTTTCTTCAAAAACTACGCAAACATATTTTATGTGGGTGATAAAAACCCAAAAATATAAAGTAATACATTAACAGTCCATATTTATAGGAAAACGAACAACAACAATTGTTTACTTCCACTCAGTTTTCCAAGTAGCAACAACACCAATTGTCTGCATTTGGCAACACCAAAACCCAAGGGCATTAGAAAGAATTTAGGTACATCTTTTTTCATACCTGAACAAACGAAATATGTATTTCTTTCGGCGTAACCTTCGAATCTCATAAAAACCTAAAAACCTATAACCTCATTACTTAAATACGTTTCACCTTAAAATAATATACCTGGTATCACAATTTGTAAGATTTTTAATCGGATTTTGTGTATAAGCCTAATTCTTCCATATTTCGAATATTTTTCACATAACATTAATAAATTTGAAATCAGGTATATAGAATTAGATCTGTGCTAAATTTCAAACGTCTATTTGATTCGGACATTGCATACATAAAATAATCGACGAGGTACATGAAATTCCTTTATAAATTCTGTCACACTTTGTATATTATAGGCGTTTTGTTCGTGTTCAGTGGTTTTGACTCAAATAATTTAGTTCAACGTCATACAACAACAGAATTAAAATAATATTTTTCATTAAATTAATTGTTATGACGATCAAAGCTTCGAATCGTGACAACAAAGATTATATCTTCTGTTCTCCATTTCATATATTGAATCGACAATAAATAGGAATGTTTCTAAGTTTTTCAAAAAATTACATTTCAGTAGTGCGATATTATTAAAGTCATTCACATCATGCGGTACATCAATATTTATTTAAATATCATTATCTGTTGCATTTTAATGGATCTCATTTTGAGTTCAGCTATTAATACAATTTCTTATATTGAAAATATCAATTTTTCCTACGACAACGGTAATTTCAATTAACTAGCATAAAACATACATCTTATGTAATATTTACCATTTAAGATCGATGGATTTGTGGTGGTATTGAATGCCCTTCTAATACATTTGGATGCAGAATTCAACGTCATACCGATTCTGGTAATAAAACATTAGTACACTCAGTTTACACTTGCTTCGATGAAAATACAGTCAATATAATGAGCGTCAATGCAACTAATGAGATGATAAGCCCTAGAATTATTGATATTGACATTGAATCCTACAAAGGTGCAGTATCACTTTACTCCACTGGATATGGTTTAGGGGGCCATGAAAATGCCAATGGAGTAATATCGCCAGATAGTTGGGTTCAGTTAATACAAAGTGCTCAGGATAATAGGAGAGTTGTTGAGGAATCTAATGTCTAACCTTCATTTCTAGGTAGGTAGACATGAGTAGGTCGAAATTTATATTCGATAACTATATCATGAATATATGGCTAAGGAATAATTAATTCCACATAAAATTATATGCCTTTGGGGTCAATATTTTGTAATGTAAACTCTTCGCTTTTGCTTTTTATTTTATGTATTTATAGACAACAAAAGTCATGAAAAAGGTACGGAAATAATAAAAACAATAAATAATACAAAAAATAAAATCTTAAAATATTGGCACTTGAAAGGTAAGTCGGGATAATTAGTTATTGAAATCTTTCTGTCGCAGCTTTCAATTCATCCATTAGAGAAGGAGGAACTGTTAATGAAGCTGTGTTGATGAAGGAAGGGGATATTTTTTGAGCGTATGACGTTAAAAATGTTTGCAAATCGTTACGTAAATCATCAATACTTGATTCCATTTTTCTGCAATTTGGCACACATTTATTACTACGCTGAATCAAGTCGAGAATTACGTGTGTCGCAGGCCTCTTTGTTACCATGGCAGATTGTCGTATTAGCTGAAAAGTGGCACATAGCATGAATAACATTTCAATATTAAAGCGTTACAAAATACCTTTTTATAGTCATCAATCAAATTGGATACCTCGTAAGTGGGTGTATCATGTTGTGATGATTTGTCCATGTCCGAAGATTTACTTTTCGTTCGTTCAATTGATAATTCCTGTTGAAGTTCCTAGTGGATTTAAAATTTTCCGTAAGTAAAATATATAATTACAAAAATGTACACTTACCCTTATTATATTTTGACTTTTTTCGTATTTCAAACGGAGTTCTTCCAGATTCCGTTTAGTATTTTGCATTTCTTTGAGTTCCTGCTTTGCTCTGTACTGTTCTTCGCACAATATCACGGTTTTGTGTTCATTTGCTTTCAGCGATTTCTTGAGAGCACTGACATTTGCCAATAAAGAGTGTATATGCTCGTCATATCTTTGCATTTTTCGGACATATTCAGCTTCTAGTACTTTCGTCAATATTCGAATGTGATCGTCTTGGACCTGTTTTTCATTATCTGAACATTGTACAATCTTATTGTCAGAGTTATTTTCATTGCCAAATGTAAGTTGCGGAAGAAAGACTGCTTCACGTCTTGTCATTTTTATTTCATGTAGCTCATTTTCCAGTTCTCGAACACGATTTGTCAACTCATCCCTTTCCTGAATTGTCTTTTCTAGCTGTGTGTTTAATGATCGCACTTCCTTTTTGTAGTCCCCTATTTCAGTAGCATAATCTTCGTCATAGTTCTGCTGAATTCTATTATTTTGTTCCTGTAGTATTTCATTAATTTCCTGCTGTTTCTGTATTTCATCTTGGCATTGCAACAACTGTTTGTTCAACGTTGTCACTTCATCCTGGAATGCACGTTTTATTTGTTCTTTTTCCCGTTGTCTTCTGATTTCTTGTATAGCCGCCAGTTCTTCCAATTTCTTAAGCTCTTCATTTTGTTCGGCAAACACTTCGTTCAAGTCTTCCAATTCCATCCTTTTTAGTTCGAGTTCTTTACGTGTTTGTTCCTCCAAAAGCTGAACATTGCGAAGGGAATTTAGCATATCTTCCCAGTCTGATTGGTTATCTTGTAGACATTGTATTTTAGAACTTTGCAAATCCGACAATTTGCGTAAAATTTGCATACGTTCTTCGGACTTGAGCGAATCGTTTTGTAAGAACTGTTCTTGTTTATTCTGTAGATCTTCAATTTGTTCCCTTAAATATTTTACTTCTTGATAAGTTTCCTCTTGACTTTCAATGTCGCATTGTACTGCCTGATGGGATTTTGCTGGTTTTGAAGACTTTAATTCTTCTAATTTTTGTTTCATAGTTTCCAAACGATTCCTTGACTCTTCTAATTGTTTTTTTAGTGTTGCTTTTACACAGATTTCCTTGCCCAGATTAGCCTTCAACGCTCGATTTTCTAAAAATATGTGATCACTTAATGTCTTATTTTCTTGTAGAACTTCAACATTCTTCTCCGCTTTATATAGATGAGAATCGTTGTTCAGTAGTCGAATTTGCAAATCTCCAACTTTTTTATCCTGCCCTTCTAATAGTTCTTGTAGTGACAAACATTTTTGGGTCATGTCCCGGATGTCCTGTTCAAGTTTTAGAGTTCTGGCTTCATTTTCTATTTCCACAATTCGTTGTTTTAGGGCGTTATTTTCATCTAATAAGGTTTCTAAATCGCGGATTTCTTCTCCGTCCCCTCTTAAATACCTCAATATTTTTTTATTCTTATCCAGAACACATTCAAAAATGTCTACATTTTCCTGTAATTTTGTATATTGATATCTCAAATCACCATCCCTGTCAGATGTTCGATGTCCTTGTGGATCAAATGGACAGTCTTCAATTGCCATAGCCATTATGTTGGAACCATGACTATCGAAAGCATCTTGATGTGGCATAAACTCTTTTGAAAGTTCAACGAAATTGTTACAATTGTTGTCTCCCTTTGAGGCCTCCTGTGAATGTGGTATTACAACACTTAACTCTGCCTGGATCGCTTCGAATTCTTTTTTCATTTGAACATTTTCTTCCACACTCTGCTTTAGCTGATTTTCAAGTTTTTGCATTTTTTCGACGAGATTAGCCGTCTGCTGTAAGTATCCCTTAAGTTTTTGCCTCAATTCCTGTATTTCTCTCTGATCGTTCTCACGCTGGAATTTAAGTTTACTTTGCTCCATTTCACATAGTTCCAATTTGAACTTTGTTTCCTTATATAGCTGTTGTAAGCTTGCAAACTGATCTTTAGTGGATTTTAACTCCTGACAGATATTTTCAAAGTTTCGCTTATGTTTCAATACTTCCATGAGACTATTTTCCTTTTCCTGAACGAGTATCTGATTTTTATATTGTAGCTCATCTATTTGTTTGGCTTGAAGACTATCCGATTCCCGGATTTCTTGTAGCTCTAGCTGACACGAATCCAGGGAAAAATTTAATTGTTCAATTAGTCTTTGTTGTTGTTCGTGTTGTGCTTGTAGTTCTTGCAAATTTTCTAGCTCTACTTCCAAACTACTAATGCGATTTTTCAAATCAATTATTTCCAATGATTTAGAATTGATGTCTTCATTGTATTTTAAACTTAACCTATGAACTTCGTCTAAATCATGTTCGTTGCTAATTGTATCCCTAAACTTACTCTGTATCTGCGTGATCTCCTCTTCTTTAAATTTTACTAGTTTTTCTTGTATTTCCAGCTGTTCCTTGAGAGTCACCAAGCTTTTTTGTAAATTAAGCTTATCGGTCAATGCTAGTGAAAGTCGCGTTTCAGATTCCACTAATCTACAATCCATTTGATACCGTTCCTTTGAGAATTCAGCGCACCTTTTTGTAATGCACTTATTGTCAAATTCAAGGTCAGCTAGACATTTCTGCATTTTCATGATTTGTTCATCTTTTTCATCTGTTAACGTCTTGAAGTCGTTTAGAAGGGCTTTCTTTTGTTTTCTAAGAACTGCGATCAGTTTTTGTTGGTCACTAATAATTGACAATTGTTGTTGTATTTGGAAATCGGTAGAGTTGCTGTCAATTATACTGACATCTTTTCTAAGCTCACAGTCGTTTTTACTTGCTTCCTGATATGTTTCGGCTTCTCTTTCTAATTCACTGCACTTTTCATATAGACGTAGACATTCTTTTTGTAGCTTTTGATTTTCTTCCATGTATTTTCGTTCTCTGCTATATATCCTCTCAAGGTCTTCCAGTCTGCTCGCCTTCTGCTGACGCAGCTCCTGCCTATACCATTGTTCCGATTTCGATAAACGCTCCAATTCACTACGAAGTTTGTTGACATCTTTAAGAACTGTATGCAGGGAGTCATCTCGTTTTAGTTTTGACCTAATATGGCTGGAGTCGGTGTCGGATTCAAATGCAGTATCGCTGTTGTTGGAACTGCATGTATACAGACCAGAATCACTGCACATCAAGGGAAAATTATTGTGAACATGTTGACTAGAATATTGCGAACTTGATGACGTTCTTTGCCTGGGTTTGTGGAAGCCCGCGGCTTCCTCAGCTGCTTTGTCCATTGCTGCTGTTAAACCTTTTCCATGATGAACTTGTTCAGAGTTTTTACAAACTTGAAAATGATTTATTTTCTTGTTTTTCTTGTTATGATATCATAAACACCACAAAACAAACGTATACACGTATAGAGTTCAATGTCGGCATCAATCAGCTGTGTGGCGCCGTTATTGGTGCGATACGAAGCTACATTCCAACCACCACCGAAACACAATAAAAACGCCAACGACGCACAAAATGAAAATTTTTTTATACTTCAATGTAAAATTAATTCTGGAACATTTTCCTCAAAAAATAAACATAAACTGGAATGTCTAGATAAAAAGCTATATAGTTTATTGAAAAGTATGTTATTACTTTTAGAAAGACAATAGCTGAGTTCAACGTTTAATTTTTAATCAATGCTTTTGAATTGTTTTACAAGGATTAAGATCATGTTTTGGGGTTTCTGTGCAATTCGTTTGATAGAACTTGTGGAACTTCTTGTAATTTAACATTAATTGAATGCGATGAACGAAAACTCCGTACCATTTTAAGTATCCTTGGGTTTTCGTTTTAAAAAAGTACAACTTTTCCGATGAGTTATTTACTTCAATATGCAGAACTGATAAAGACACTTTTTAAAATGTGCGGCCACGAAGCGTACTGTGTAATTATTTGGCTCTTCTTTTGTTGTCGTAAAATGGATTTCTGGTTAGGTTAGGTCATCCACTTAATATAAAGGGAGGAGGAGGGGTTGTGGGATATTAGTCTAAACTTCGCACACCGTAATATTTGAATCGCATTTCGGTCAGATACCAAAGTGAATAATGTCCTATAACGGTTTCTTGCACTTTTCCCATAAAGGCAACAACAAATTAAATGTAAAATGATTCCCCGATTTTCTTCAAACTTGGTATATTTAATTTGTCTGCAAATATTAGTTTAAATATGGGATATATCGGCTCAATTTTACTGGCTATAGCTTTCTTTAATTGCACGTTTAAATATCTGGATTAAGCACGATGAGATGGGGTTAAAAATTGAAATAAAATATTTTACATGCAAATAAAACAATTTTATTTCATATTTTTCCTTATTCCATACTCCATTTGAGCGCTTCACCTCCATCAAATTAAGTGACACTGTGAGCTTGAATCACTGCGAGACACAATGAATTGAGATGAAATTGCCAAATAGAAATGACCTTTGGCATTGTTTTTTCTGTTGAAAATGTTTGTAAAGGTTAAAATGCGTTTGAGTGTTTGTGGAGAGCTTTGTTTGAAAACGTAGCGTTTGTTATTGCGGCTATTTGTTGGTGTCAAAGTACCAAATGTAAAGCCAATCGAAACCTTAAATCGGGGACTAAAAAACCAATACCACGCATTACATTAGATCATTCATTGGTAAAATGGGATAGATCTTTACCACTACCACGGTAGAATGCATAAGTTATTTTTAAAGACATATATTAGATTTCATTAACATATTTCAATAAGTTTTGCAACGATTGCCATTTGTGAAAAAAGGAGATGTACGAATAATAATAAGTTTATGACTTCCCAAAATTTCAAACTTTAAAAGGAAATTAACATTCCAGAAGGAGCAGCTTGATATTGTCCATTTCGGTATATTTGTTATTGACACATGTGCTATAGTTTTGTGGTGAAAAACGAGTCTTATGGAGCACAGTAAGATGGAAGAGGCATGGCGTAGAAATTATTATAGCATATTCCTCATTAACGTCAATGAAACGAACAGTTTTGATTTCTCTATAGTACGCTGTGTTGAAATTAAAAAAAAAAAGTAAAGTCTTAAAGTCGGTCGGGGCCGACTTTATGATACCCTACACCACTTTCCTAATTTAGTATAGCTGCGCATAACAATTAAAAGTTTTTATCGGAGAATTCAATCATACACGCTATGATTATAATTATAATTTAAAGTTCAAAGGGCTAAATATGCCGAAGCATTTGAATCTTTTAAATTTGGATTTGTATTACCCATTTGGTGCACAATTAATTTGAAATCGGATAAAGATATACATGGGAGCTATATCCAAATCTCGATTAAATTTGGCAAAAATATTTCTGAGCTGTATTTGATATATTTCCTTGAATATCTTTGTTACGGAGTGCATATTACGGCTGTGGGTAACAAATATGACAAATCGGATGAACAGTATATATGGGAGCTATAGCTATATCTGAACCGATCTTCATCAAATTTGCCATACTACCTTCTAGACTCAATTCGGTCGTAAGTGCCAAATTTCATCCAATTTGGGTAAATATTAGAAGTTTGGTGTACAATAAAAAGTAAATCGGACGAAGTTATATATGGGAGCTATATCCAAATCTGAACCGATCTCGATAAAATTTAGCAAATGTATTTCTGAGATGTATTTGATATATCTCCCCAAATATTGTTGTTACAGAGTGCATATTACGGCTGCGGAGGACAAAAATAACAAATCGGATGATCAATATATATGGGAGCTATAGCTATATCTGAACCGATTTCGATCAAATTTGGCATACTTATTTTCAGGTCCAATCTGATCGTATGTGCAAAATTCCATACTATTCGGACTGATATTACACGTTTGGTGCACAATAAAAAGCAAATCGGACGAAGATATATATGGGAGCTATATCTAAATTTTGACCGATTATCTCCAATAGGGTTCGTCCTTGGGCCAAACAAATGATTTGTGCATAATTTCATCTGGATAGGGCAATTAATGCGAACTGTACTTTGTTTACAAAAATACATGGACAGACGGACGGACATGCATAAATCAACTCAGAATGTGATTCTATGCAGATCATCAAAAGGAACTATGGGTCTATCTCCTTTCCTTTTGCCTGTTACAAACAAATGCACAAAGACATAATACCCACCTTGTGGTGTAGGGTATAACAAGAATCCTGTGAACCCCTAAAGTCGTTTATTTAGATTTCAATTTATATATTTTGCTTTCAAATCATGCCTGGCTTTACATGCAAGTGTATAATAGAATAATTAGGGAAGCAAGTTCAACTTATTCCAGTCGTCAGTATGATGAACAATATAAGCATTCCTCTTCCAAACTGCCTAAGATCAAGATCGATATGGTGGATAATGCCCACTTTGGATATTATATTGAAACCCATACAAATGAATCGGCAAACCTATTTTCACCCCTTTAAATAGAGAACATTACATGCAACAGTTTGTGGTGAGAAGGATTTCCGGTGCGCAGAGCATGACAATTCAAAAATACAGATAACCTTGGTAGTTTTGGCAGGGTAAAAACTATTCGAGCACAACCAAACAACTACCTCAACTTGTGTTCGCTGGTTCGCCTGGTGGCTGTTTCTGTTTTTTTTTTTTTTTTCTCTTTAAGACAAAATACTCCTCCTCTATTTTCCTGACGAGACTACAACGGCAGGGTCAATGAATTCTTATGCTTCAACCAAAATATTGAAATGTTGTTGTTGTCGATTAAAAATCATTTTTTTTTGTTGGTATACAAAGCATTATGAGCGAGTGTGCGTGCGTGCGTTTGTCTATTGTGGTGGTATAGGTGTGCGGTTTGGTCAATATGTGCTTCTGAAAAAAGGTTAATACCTGCGGGACAAACTGTCTTTAAAGAACCGGTGATTGGTTACTGGTTTTGATCGACATGATCAGCAATGAGAAGTTACAGGTTCATGTAGTATACCCGTGTTTCAACATCTGTGTCTGTATCCCATTTTTGACATGCGTCGATAAACCAAATGCGATTGAAATCAAAATACCTACCACAAGTTTACAAATTTATTTTATTAACGCTTAAGTGAGAAGCACGGAACCACATCAAGTAAGAGCCCAACAAACACCAACAGAGAAAGAGAAAGAAGAGAGGTTGTAGACAAAGTCAAACGGATCTTTAAAATGTGACTTCTCATTTGCATAAGTTTAGAATAAAGCCCAAAGGGGCCATCGTAATATTAATTAATGTGCGACCCGTCATAAATACATACGTACAAAAAAGCAAGCTAACAAACGTGGGCACATATACACTAGGTATATATAAATGTACACATGTATGTGTGTGTCAACATGCCTGCATACTTAAGAATGCTAAGAATAGAGCCTGCGGTAATGAAGTCGACGAACCAAATTTACAAAACGTGAAGAAAAAACATCGATTAGTCATTTTCCACTACGCCACTTTGCAATCAATGTTTGAAATTCACACTTGGCCCCGAAGGGGTTTGATTTTCCAAAAAGTCATCGCATAGAGAAATCATTCTCCCTCAAGAGCATAACCGAATCGACCTAGTCATAATTTTAAGAACTATTGAAAGTGTCAAGAGAGTTTGACAACAACTGACCAGAAACCGATCGTGTTAGCCAACAACAAACGATAAAGCTATGCCTTCCATTAAAGCTAAGCCCACTCAACGGGAGTACAGCGCACAGTGGCCAACAAAGAATGCCGCAAGAATCTACATTTTACGACCACTAGCCAACATAGACAGGCGGCCGTGATATTTGTGCGTGATCTATATTCCCAAATAAGTGGGTATGTGTGGATCTGAATGCAAGTAGTACATACCTAGATACGATTCGAACTTAGGCGTCCGCATATCGTTGAAAGCCTTGCACATGCCGTTCATCTGAAAATTAATTTTGAGCATGACTTTCTTTATTTGAAATTATTTTTACGAGCAATTTTCGTTAGTTTTGTTTTAGTTAGTTGTTCTTGTTGTTGTTGTTACTTTGGCTATGACTTCGTCTAGGCTGGCAATTGTCTGTTACCAACAGCAACAATAGCTCTGCCAGCCAGCAATGGTATAAGTACGAATGGGTTCATTAAAATTAGGACGTGGAATAATTAACGTTTTTTTTTTTTTGTTTTTGTCAATTTTACAACCATACTAACGTCGCGAAGAAGCAGCAGAAGAGCAACAAAACCCTAAAGCTAATCATAAAAATGAAATTAAATTTAAAACAAAACCGAAATAACAACAAATAAATGCGAATGCAGGCAGCGACAACGGGGGCATAAAATAAAAGTGATAAGTGTGTGCACGAATGTGGTGTGCATCTGTATCGGTGAGTTGCCATCTACTCACACCCACTTTCCGGGCTAAGCTGTAGTTGTGGTAACGATCGTGGTGGTGGATCCAGACCTGGTGCTTC